AGTATTTCAGACTTTGGAATTGGAACTACTGACCACGAGTAAAGTATTTCAGACTTTGGATTTGGAACTACTGACCACGAGTAAAGTGTTTCAGACTTTGGAAATGGAACTACTGACCACTGCTAAAGGGCCAACCATTGAGTAAAGTGTTTCAGACTTTGGAATTGGAACTACTGACCACTGGGGAAACAACCAATCAGGAACAGCCGCCGCTGCTTCAAGGGCTTTGTTCGACTCTCTGAATTGATTGTTACTTCTATAACGCGCTCACAACTGAACGTTCAGTAGCATCATATCTTGAACCTTGGACAAATACGTGAGTCCGACGTGTTAACAACTAGGCCATTTTCAGCTCTTCTTATAAATTATTTCATAAAACTATAGAATTAGTAACTTCCAAACTGACTACAGATAAGAAATATTAAGATTATCATAATTACCTCGCTAGTGCTCTCCATTCGCGATGCTGTATTAACAGTGTCTCCAAACAGACAATATCGGGGCATTTTGAGACCAACAACTCCTGCCACAACCATACCGGAATGGATACCTGTAGGAGAATAATTATTACCTTGAATCTGTAAGAGAAGTATAGGAAATTATAGTTTTTTCTGCTATAGTAGGAACCGGACTTCTTTCCAACTAGTACATCTTTATAAAGACGTAAAATAACCCATCAGAAAAAGTGACAGATTTTAGGCTTTACTGTCGCACATAGAACAACATATATATATAATGTGTAGGATAGAACATAGAACAACATATATTGTGTAAGATGAGAAAATCTTCGAGAAGCAGTAAGTTCTAAAAGCAGCGCAATATTCGGAGGTCAACTAACCTCAGAGGTCAAGTTTAGATGCAACTTGTTGACACATTTTGCAAGCTTCAAATTTTGTTCACAGAAACTTTATTATTTGCCGACTTTTGTTGTTTTGAAAATAAAAGCTTATAAAGTAGAGTAACTCATCATTTTTCGAGAAATTAAAGCATGAAACCACGTAATGTAAATAAACGAATGAAAAAAAAAGAATTCTCAACCATTAGTTTCAATAAAATTAAATTACAATGCAGAGTTTTTTTGTTGCAACAACTAAGGAAGAAGTACAAGTCATGTCAAGAGACATAAACAAGTTGACCTTACATGTTTCTGGCTTCTAAACATGAACGTTCACCATCAGAAGCGTTAATTCCAATTTTTCTTGAACTGTAAGAGTTTTTTATAATATAATATATTTCTAATGATCCTAGAAAATTAATGAGCAGTTAAACAGTATTTCAGTTTTGTGTCACAAGATGTCACTACTTGTATTTACATGATGCTCAGCTAGTGCGGACTCGGCAACATTTTTCTTTTCAACATTACTCTGTAGTTCAATTTTGTGCCACAAGATGTCACGACCTGTATTTAAATGATGCTCAGCTAGTGTGGAATCGGAAACGTTTTTCTTTTCAACATTAGTCTTGAGTTCTTTAGTTTTCACCTTTAAGTGTCTAATAGTCCGGCCAATGTAGATTCTAGCACGTGAATACTGCATCTTGTAAACATCATATTTATATAAAACAATCAACAATTAATAATGATAAAACAGCTGTAATTTTAAAGGTGGTAAACAAATCATTTTTACTTAGTTTTACACAAACACCGGGTAATATATGGTAAATACACCATAGGTTTGGTTTGGACGAATGGGGTTAGTTCCCTCTTTAATAGGCCCGGCATGGCCAGGTGGATAAGGCGCTCGACTCGCAATCTGAGGGTCGCGAGTTCGAATCCCCGTCCCACCAAACATGCTCGCCCTTTCAGCTGTGGGGGCGTTATAATGTGACGGTCAATCCCACTATTCGTTGGTAAAAGAGTAGCCCAAGAGTTGGCGGTGAAATATCTCAAATACTGTTTACTAGAATCCTTTCTCTGTCATAACTCCGCCACACAGTAAATGTTGTTGTCCTTTTTATGATAAAATTTCGTCTTTCTTTAGCTTTATTTAGAGGGTTCTTAAAAGTTGATCTTATCACTAGTATTTGAAAAGTGAAATTATAATTGCTAATAGTATTGCGAAAGATAAGGTAATCGGCAAGGCTATGAAGATATAGAAAATTATACACGAACTTTGCTCTACGTTAGAATAATTATATTTTCCAGCTTTCGGCCCTCTTACTGGAGCCTTAGTCGGGCAACAATGTTATCGCTCAGTACATTATTGCCTGGTGAAGACTCCAGTAAGTATTTTTACGTAGAAGAAAGCCCGTGTATAATTCAACATATTAATTTACCTACGTTATGGGTCTTAGAAAACAAGAGTATGGAGAAATACGAGAACTCGTTTATGGTTCCATTAATTAAAGAGGGATTGTTTGTTTGTTTGTTTGTTTTTGAATTTCGCGCAAAGCTACACGAGGGCTATCTGCGCTAGCCGTCCCTAATTTAGCAGTGTAAGACTAGAGGGAAGGCAGCTAGTCATCACCAGTCCTAACTCAGAATATCATCTGAATGTTTAAATATTTTTAGTGATTCGCAAAAGTTGTTTTTATTATTTTTAGAGGAATAATTAAACAGCAATTCAGTTTTGTGCCACAAGATGTCACGACCTGTATTTACATGATTCTCAGCTAGTACGGACTCGGAAACATTTTTCTTTTCAACATTATTCTGTAATTTAGCTTTATGCCACAAGGTGTTAGGACCCGTATTTACATGATGCTCAGCTAGTGTGGATGTTTTTACTTTTAAAACAGTTGGAACTCATTAATAATTAGAATTCCTTAATTATATTTGCATATACGGCTTATGTGCTTTGAACTTATGTCATATCATGTATTTTGTTTTTTTCTATCATCAGCTAATTTTATTTATTTATTAAACATATTGTAAAACCGCTAGGTGTCTTAAAGTGTTCTTGAACCGTAAATTGAATTTTCCACCTCTGATGATGTACGTACATGTTCACTCGCCCAAAATATGTAAAGTCAACTAGTAAGTGTGTCTCCACTTGTACACTAAAAATATTCGTTGCACCAAAAAGAAAAAACGTTGCACAGTAATTGAATTTTATAACATGTGCACGAGTTACCTATATAAAAGTATGAACCTTAGTTTGAACGATAATTCAAGATTTGATTTATTTTCTTACTTTGAAAAATTGCTTGTTTGAAATTAAGCACAAAGCTACACAAATGGTTATCCGTGCTCTGCCCATCACTGGTATCGAAACCCAGTTTCTAGCGTTGTAAACTCTAAAGTTGTGCAGTGTAGCATAATATGTGTAGGGAATTAGCTGTAATATCAAATGAAGACTGAAAGTCTTTTTAAACATTTTATCCTTAACAAGCCCATTAGGGGTCAATAAGGTGAGTATATATTACTAACTGAATTTCAACAAAAATAAATCTTACCGACTCGAATGCGAAGACTTTGGCCCGTGGATGGGTCCTTCAAATCACCAATGACGTCTACCATATCTAAAGCCATGTCACAAATGTTTTCAGCATGTTTGTCAACGATATCCGGCGCCCCGGATACTACCATGTATGCATCACCAATTGTCTCCACCTGTGAAGATACATTTTAAACGACATGAAGATTTAATAATATTTAAATAATATCACCTTTATTATTGTCAATGGAGATCCAAAATAAGTTTAAACGCATAAAAATGTAAAAAATAATTCATTATTTTATCTATGAATAAAATTGCAAGTTGTTTGTGTTATCTATTAAATACACATTTTTTGTTTTTTTCAACATAATTGGTATTATTTTCCTTTTCGGTTATTTACCACTCCAGCCTGTGAAAAATAAAATCCCTAGATAAGTTAATGACATCACATTAGCAAAGCGATGATATTTATAAATGGAACCAACAGATTCCACGTAATGACCTCTAAGGGTCAAGGTTACACGATGGAATTCATCTCCATGATCCCCAGTTTCCAACCAGGTCATACTCATGTTTCACTAGTACACTATGCCCAGAAATTACAGGTAAGGCTTAGCCTTTTGGTCTACATTTATAAAACTTTAATTGACTGAACTTTGTGGTTTGTTTGGGAATGTTTCCATTCACAGTTGTTGTAACTTCATGAAATAGCTGTTAAGAAAAATTAAAAAACAGATGGAGAAAATAATATCTAAAGAGTTTTTTTTTTATAAACATGACAGAGGGCGCTTTGGTATACTGATGCAGGTAAAAATAACACTTATTGTTACATTATTTACTATAATAGTAGTAACTAAGTAGAAGAAAGGAAACAGATATTTAACGATGCCACGTGCAGACTATTGCACGTCATATTATACACGTGTGTGTTGGGTGAAACACGAGAAGTAATCTATATTAAACGTGTTTTGACAGCCCTTAAATAAACAGTATAGAAGAAAATGTTATAAATGTCGTAACCTCACCTTTGTAAACCTTGTTTTTCTGTTGATATCACCTTGTAAACTTTGTGTTTCTGTTGATATCACCTTGTAAACCTTGTGTTTCTGTTGTTATCACCTTGTAAACTTGTGTTTCTGTTGATATCACCTTGTAAACCTTGTGTTTCTGTTGTATCACCTTGTAAACCTTGTGTTTCTGTTGATATCACCTTGTAAACCTTGTGTTTCTGTTGATATCACCTTGTAAACCTTGTGTTTCTGTTGTTACCACCTTCTAAACCCTGTGTTTCTGTTGATATCACCTTGTAAATCCTGTGTTTCTGGTAATCTCACCTTGTAAACCCTGTGTTTCTGTTGATATCACCTTGTAAACCCTATATTTCTGGTGATATCACCTAGTAAATCCTGTGTTTTATGGTAATCTCACCTTGTAAACCCTGTGTTTCTGTTGATATCACCTTGTAAACCCTATATTTCTGGTGATATCACCTAGTAAATCCTGTGTTTTATGGTAATCTCACCTTGTAAACCCTGTGTTTTCTGGTAATCTTACCTTGTAAACCCTGTGTTTCTGATATTTTCACCTTGTAAGCCCTGTATTTCTGGTGATCATAGCTTGTAAACCTTGTATTTCTGGTGATCTCATCTTGTAAACATGTGTCTTTGTTGATCTTACCTTGTAAACCTGTGTCTCTTTTGATCTTACCTTGTAAACCTGTGTCTCTGTTGATCTTACCTTGTAAACCTTTTGTTTCTGTTGATCTTACCTTGTAAACCTGTGTCTCTTTTGATCTTACCTTGTAAACCTTTTGTTTCTGTTGATCTTACCTTGTAAACCTTTTGTTTCTGTTGATCTTACCTTGTAAACCTTGTGTTTCTCCGTCAACTGATCAAACATGCTGTACATGGAGTTTAACATCGACACCACTTCCATAGGACTGATCCTACTGGATATTTCCGTAAAAGTGACCACGTCGCTGAACAGGATTGTTACACAGTCAAAATCCTGTTTGAAAGTACAGAGAGAAAAGGGATTTACAATAATTTCACCAAAGGAAAACTCACACGTGTAAAGTGGAGTTTAAATCCACTGTTAAGGAACAACACCAAATGTAATCCTGTTCGAAAGTACAGAGAGAAAAGGGATTTACAATAATTTCACCAAAGAAAACTTCACACAGTCCCGTGTAAAGTGGAGTTTAAATCCACTGTTAAGGAACAACACCAAATGTATAAGGATTCAAGTCTCGACACTTTCACGTGTCCGCTGAAGTCCAACTTGTTTCTCTCAGAAACAAACAAACGTTGGAATGAAGATGACATCTAAGAAGCCAAAACTTGTATTCGTATAAATTTGCTGTTGATCCGTTATTTTTGGATTAACATTATTTTACATAACAACGCCATTAAATTTTTGTATAAAAAAATTCAATCTTTGGGGAAGACACCTTGGGGAGAAGCCAACCTGTAATTTAAATCATTAATGATTTTTTATTTTATTCGGTGTGTTTTGTATTTCCTTAAAGGTCACAAAAGTGCTTCTTTGGGTTTCCCAGCACCAACTTCTATGAAAACGTAATGTTAAACTGTTAGGTTTTTGATTTCCGTCACAGATAAGCCTAAAACAATTATTATTTCTATTTCAAACATCTTCAATATAGTTTAGTAGTTTCACTATTTCATCAACGTATACACTTTTTATTATTATAAACTGTTGAATATGGTTATTTATATACTATTTATAATAAACTCTTCCCCCATCACCAAGCAACGCTGGTTTTCAAGTATTAAGTTCATTGAATGTTCACAGTTTGAGAGAAAAAGAAAACAAATCTACATAGTGTTCCTGAATTTCAGGCTTAATGGGCCTTATCTACATAGTGTTCCTGGAATTTCAGGCTTAATGGACCCTATCTACATAGTGTTCCTGGAATTTCAGGCTTAATGGACCCTATCTACATGTGTTCCTGAAATTTCAGGCTTAATGGACCCTATCGTTATGTGACAAACATTCTCTGACACGTTATTTTATTTTTAACTCATCACCAGTACTTGAAAAACCTCTTCACTTACGCCTCTCCTTTTAATAACCTATTACGGTTACCTGACAAGTGGCCACTGCCGCTTCTCCTTTTCTTAGCCTATCAGCAACCTGCTTAGGAATCATTTGGTACAGCAACTCGTCCGTTCTTTTCATCTCGGAATCCAACTTCTTCATGGACTCTTCCAGTTGTTTACTTTTCTGTAGTTCCTGTTCGTTTCACACAATAATAATAATATTCTACTTATTTATGTTGTGGCTTGATCGGAAGTTTAGTTAAAATTATCTCCTCTGAATGTATCAAACAACTGATTATTATGTGATATTAGCTGGAGTTTGTACAGAAACACACCACGAGATTTATATTACACAACTATATTATAGTTGGCGTTTTATAGAAACATACCATAGGGTATATATATTACACAAATATTACAGTTGGTGTTTGTATAGAAACATAGTGCAGGATATATATTACACAAGTATTGTAGTTGGTGTTTGTATAGAAACATAGTGCAGGATATATATATATTACAAAAGTATTATAGTTGGTGTTTGTATAGAAACATAGTGCAGGATATATATTACACATGTATTATAGTTGGCGTTTTATAGAAACATACTACAGGATATATATTACACATGTATTATAGTTGCTGTTTGTATAGAAACATAGTGCAGGATATATATATTACACAAGTATTATAGTTGGTGTTTGTATAGAAACATAGTGCAGGATATATATATATTACACAAGTATTATAGTTGGCGTTTTATAGAAACATACTACAGGATATATATTACACATGTATTATAGTTGCTGTTTGTATAGAAACATAGTGCAGGATATATATTACACAAGTATTATAGTTGGCGTTTTATAGAAACATACTACAGGATATATATTACACATGTATTATAGTTGACCAACTATAATACATGTGCAATATATATCCTGCACTATGTTTCTGTACAAACACCAACTATAATACTTGTGTAATATATATCCTGCACTATGTTTCTATACAAACACCAACTATAATACATGTGTAATATATATCCTGTAGTATGTTTCTATACAAACGCAAACTATAATACTTGTGTAATATATATATCATGCACTATGCATAGTGCAGGATATATATATTACACAAGTATTATAGTTGGTGTTTGTATAGAAACATAGTGCAGGATATATATATTACACAAGTATTATAGTTGGCGTTTTATAGAAACATACTACAGGATATATATTACACATGTATTATAGTTGGTTGTAGTATGTTTCTATACAAACGGATATATATTACACATGTATTATAGTTGGTGTTTGTATAGAAACATAGTGCAGAATATATATATTACACAAGTATTATAGTTGGTGTTTGTATAGTATTATGGTATTATTATGGTATTATTTTTCTTGTCTGTTGACCAGTACTGTAAGAATGGTGTTATTGTTCTTGTTTGTTGACCAGTTCTGTAAGAATGGTGTTATTGTTCGTGTCTGTTGACCAGTTCTGTAAGAATGGTGTTATTGTTCTTGTCTGTTGACCAGTTCTGTAAGAATGGTGTTATTGTTCTTGTCTGTTGACCAGTTCTGTAAGA